ATTTGAACGCGACGCGACGCCAATAACTTTCTTTGTTCCATCTAGGGACCAAACGAAATTATGCTGGAAAGACGCTACGAAGAATGGATGGGAACATCCGCCATTACAGTTTTCTTTCACGTCGCCCGTCTTTGATGATGTTAAATTTACATTATGATACTATTTTTTAGGTACGCGCCTGGTAAAATAAATTATACCACAGAAAATATTATCATACTTTAATCTATATTTTTACTCTGAAAAATATGTCAAAATTAATGTCATACACTTTTTAACAGACATTAAAAAAAACAAAATTCGAATATTGATTCTTTTAACACGAGTATTTTTTCAATAAAAACCAGACGATACAAAATACAACTTGAACTTACTTCTGAGATTCTAAATCTCTAATTATTCATTTAATCATTTATCCTTACTCAGACTCGTTAATTATGGTAACTTAAAGATACATTTAGAATAGGTAACACTAAGGAATGGTTATAAATCTCCGGCTACATTAATTACAAGCCTCTTTTAAGCTCTCAACTTGACATATTTACTAAAATATATAACTAAACAAATTACAATTTTTATTACTAACAAGCTGTCGCCCACGACTCTGTCCACTCGGTATTAAAAAAACACAATTAGCCATAGACTATGTGTTCTTCCAGATTATGTTCTATATGTGTGCTAAAATTCATTTACCCGTTCTGGAGATATCTTCAAATCAACATCCATCCATCCAAACATTCGCATTTATTATATTAGAATGAAAAGAATAACAAACAGTCTATGCAATCTTTAGTTCTGTATGTTTTTAAAGTATACTGAGGATTGTTTCAAGAACTTGGTCGAGTTCTTGCGGATGAAGTCTTCGTAACTTTATCCTTGAGTTTGCTATCCGTAAATCCACTCCAGTACTTCCGAGCAAAGAAAGTATATTATGTACTTCCAAGATGGCGGCTTTTTATAATAATTTAAAATGTTTTTTTTTATATACATCAAGATAACAAACAGTCATTGAATTCTCCGAGTGACTTAGAAGGCATAACTTTTGATAACTTATGTATTACATAAAATAATTAATTAAATAAGTCGAAAAACTTATAAGTATATACATATACTAAGTCGTTATTAGTGGAACTTTTCTAGTAACGACTTCAATGGAACACCATGGCATGGCATGGCAATAGCCAACTGGCAACTTTAACACTAGCATTCTGGGATGAAATTAAATCAAGAAATACCATTCCTTAATTATTAAATAACAAATTAAACTTTGTCAGTGCTGGAGTATCATCAAATTTGTTTTAGTACAAGCTTACTATAATTTTACACTTTTTAAACCTTCCCTCGACTTAAAATTCGATAATTTGGTACATTCTTCTAAGAAACATTGTTGCACATGCATTTTTAAGCTACTTATTAAATTTCTTTTTGTAGGTATCAATTCGTTTAAAAATATTGTACATTTAATTAAATTAATGCTTATAAGTCAAATACTCTTAGCTTTATTTACGATTGTCACATAATTTGAAATACATTTCCCGTGTTTATTTCCAACAATCACGGCTTTCTAAGCTCCCGTGCAGCGGGGTGGAAGCAGTCGAGTTGACAAGACGCTTTGAGCATTTCCTTTGACGGGGCAGACTTGTAATTGGATCGCATCGAACCACCGAAGCAAACAAATAGTCTAGTTCTACGTAGCTCGAGAGACGACGAGTGATTGGGTCTCCATTCCGTGTAGTTGAGAGAAATCTCTATAACTTTCATATTTATCTTATGAGTTTTCATATTTTCTACTCTCGACTTTGTTTTCAAATACTGAAGCTAGGAACGTTAATGTTATTACTTGTACTACTGTTCATAGAAGACTGTATTTTTAGGGTTCCGTACCTCGAAAGGCAAAAAGCGGAACCCTTACAGGATCACTTTGTTGTCCGTCCGTCTGTCAGCCTGTCAAGATCATCTGTCTCAGGAAGGCGTGGTGAATCAAGCTGGAATTTATTTTCTAATTTTTTTTCTGTCTCTTTCTGCATTTTGTTATGTGAAAGAGAGCAATAGATTTGTGTCCGTTGTATATGTAACTTAAAACTGATCACCGAGTTTCTTTACCTATTACATCACCTATCTTCTAATGAGATGGAATATCAAGATAAATTTTCATCACGACTAAATTTCCAAATTACTAATTAAAAGCTAATATTCCATTAACTAAAATAAAGAATATTTATTTTTTAATATGTAAGTAATAATACCAAAGGAACGATGTAAATAATTAAAGTGTGCAGAGTATTTTTAATGAGTACCTGAGATGGAAGGCAGCGGATCGTAATTTGCAGAAAACATTCCGTCTTGTCTTGAAAGGTTCTTTGAAAGCTTTCCTTGGAATCAAATTAAATGGCGTCTCTAGGAGACGTGACGGTGTGCGTTATTCGAGGAAAAATTTCTTTCTATTAAGAATATTAAATGTACTATGAAGAGGAATGTCTGAAAATATATTTCTAGAAGCAATCTATTCATAACTTATTTATGATTCTTTATAAGATTTTCTTTACAGTTAATTTTGATATGTTTTTAATTATATTTGAAGCGCCAATAGCCTAATGGTTAAGGGTACGGATTTCCGATTACATGGTCGAGGGAACGAATCCCACCATTCGACTTTTGTCGTAAAACATATCCTAGCACAAGCCTAGAGCTTAGTCGGAGTGGTACAAGAAATATTAGTCAAATAAAAAAATCTTCTAATATCTTTTTAAAAAAAATATTATGTTTGTTGCAACATAGTTGATACAGGATGTTTGTAAAAGCTTCAATATTTCCCCGAGGTAAAAATTGGAAGCAACGAAATACAATTTTACGTAAGAATTTTTAGAGCAAAATTATTGGTTTTAAAACGTTTCAAACTCGTCACAATTTTATTTCTTTGCTTTACCTTTAAAAAAGGTTACCTGAAATTGGCTGCTGCAAGAAATAAATTGAAATACTCAATGTGGAAAAAAATGCAATTCTTTTTGTATGTTTCAATACCATTTCTATATTTGAAGTGTTTGATAAGTTGCTATTAAAATATCGTCAGCAAAATGTCGAAATTACATATTGCTATTACTTATAGGTTTTATTAACATGCTTGAGTCTGCATTTATTGTAGTTTGATGACGTTCAATTTATCAGGTCCGAACCCAATAATCGATTCTTTATATTGATAAGAAGATAATTTAAATTAGTTACACAATATGGAAATTTACGAAAAAGGATAGATAACCTTCAAACCATAGATATATGTTATTCTATTGCTGTTGCGAATTTTATTTATTTTAAACTAGTCATTAAAAATTCTTTAAATTTTCTATATTTATCTTACTAATATTATAAATGCGAATGTTAAGATGGATGGATGTTTGTTTGAATGTATCTGTAGAACGGCTAATTTTATTAAAATTTGGCACACATGTAGAATGTCTGGAAGAGCACAATAGGCTACTAATTATGTTATTTTTTATTTCATCGCGGACAGAGTCGCGGGCGACAGCTAGTTTACTCATAGATAGAATACTGGTTTCCTTCGAGGTATAAGTAAATAATAATGATGTATGTATTTCGCCTTTACGAAATAATGTCACATATTTTGCCACTGGCCATGATAAATCCCTAAAATAATACGTGCAAGGCAACTTTCGAGTGTTCGTCGCATATCAAGGGACAGGACTAAGGTGGTTTGGTCACGTATACAGAAATAAATACGAACAAAAAACATACTTGTTTTTATGTTATTGATTTCATATTTGGTTATACAGAGATTTATCGTAATACTAAAATATTGTTTTAATTATTAAGGAAGAAGGAAATAGAGAGACAAATATTTCGTCTGTTATAACTCCGTTTTTTAAAAAATATGTATCATAAAAGTAATCAAAGTTTTGTACATTTATAAAATGAAAACAGCAGCATGGCAGCCAAATTGCATTTGTTACTTTGTTAAAATACTTATACTAAAACTTTACATTATTATTTTATTGAAGACTATTCGCGACTACATCATGTTCGTAACATTTCCCGCGCTATTCTCTTTTTACCTAACCTTTTTAATTAAAAAGGCAAAGGTTCTTGGTGGCCAGTATGCCACGTCCTTGGCAGAATGTTCAATTCTGCACTCAACAGTAAAGAAAACACGAAAATTACATGGTATATTTCCTTCTCCGTTGTTTTTTTCATTATTGTGTTATACTCTTATTTTACATGATCCAGCCAACAGCCAGCTACTGTTAGTTTGATAAATTAACTATTGTCATGATTTTATAAAGCGCTAATTCTGAGTGTTCATCAATATAATGAGCACAAATTAATTCAAAAATGTTCTTTAAATATCTTTTTTGGTTTTCACTCGTTAAAAAAATCCACCTAATTGGGTAGGTTACAAAAATTAAACAACAAAATTATTTGTATATTTTTATTTAAGTGCAAGAAACTTAAGTACAGTACTTATTTATACCAATTAAATATAAATCTCAAAATAAAAACAAGTTTGGCATTCAATTTTTTTTTTTAGTTTTCGAAAAATAAAATTTCAAAATAACTGTCAACTCATATTCCACTGACCTCAAAAACACCGACAATCTTCTAACACAATTAAACTAAATAGAGATCAATCTTATTTCAGGTAACGACTTGAACTTGGGCATAAGTTATATAACTTTATATAATCTTAACATTAAAAAATTAGAAAAATATCTCACAATATTTCATTTTATGAATAAATATAAATTTATGTACCAACCAGTTATATAATATATAAGGGCAATATCACTACTATCACCGTTATCACAACAATTTACTTTCGCGACAATCGACATAAAAGCAAAAGGTAACCCTAAAATTCTTACAAGAAACATAACCTTTAAAAAAGATCCAACACCCATATGGTAACTTTCATTCGGTTATAACCGACAAATGGGGACAGATTGAAACAATTTCTATGGATTTAATAATATTTCAACAATGCCTAAAAGTACTTTGGTAACTAAACTAGAATCTTTCAATATATAGGGTTGTCAATAACAAAATAATCAAGACAATTTTCTAAATAAATATCGTATGTCACCAAGTTTTTAACACATTTCCTCTGAAATCACAGCCCTTAATTTAGTAATTACCATTAACCAACATAATTTTAAACTATAAATTAAACAACTAGAAACCATTAGACTTGGTAAGTACTAACAAGTAATAAGTAGACAAACAAAATATCTATGTGGCTTTTTATAGATAACGGAAAAATATATTATGTACTATGAGCTTAGCTCGTTCTTAGAATTCTCTACTAAAAATAAAAAAAAACTTCTCCAAATTGAATTCTTGAGAACAAAAATCCGTATTCCTACTTTCCTGTTAAGACACATGGCAATTATTCGCACAATGCGTATATATTCTGACGTCAAACATAGTCGAGTGACCTTTACAATTTGTACCTAACTTTGTACAAAAACATATTCCTATCTCTTTTTTCTTAAATGATCGAGTGGGATGACATGTTTTTATACATGCGTTTCGTCTAGAAACTCAATCTTACCTCAGAATATCATAAACGTAACTTTTGTGATGTTGGCAATATAGTTTCGGAATGAGTCAGGAAAGTTGTTACGCGGCAATCACAACATTGTGGCTAATTAGTTAAAACATTACCTAGTTGTAGCAACTAATCGACTAGTCATCATGACAGTTGACACATAAAGTGGTAGAATTGGTCGAAGTTGACGGGCTCCAGTTCGTATTCTTTTTCTGACCTATTCAGTAGCTCTGGGTTCCTTTTAAGGAAGTTTCTGACCCAGTCCTCGCCGGCCATACGACTGTTTACGTCAAAAGGATGATTTAAGTTGTTGTCCTCAGCGTATTGGAAGGCCAGTTCCCTTATATCTCGTCTGGAGACACCCATGAAGTATTTCTCCATACTCTTTATGTAGCCGACAAGGTCCTTTTCTTGGTTGTCAGTGAAAACACGTCTGTAGTGTCCCATGAGGGGCTTGGGGTCGTCTGGTAGCTGGTATCGCACCTTGCTGGCGCGGCGCTGCAGCGTTGAGCGCGGGATGTGATACGTTCTGGCCGCCAATTTGTAGCCCATTTTTCCGGAGACAACGGCGGCGACAGCTTTCGCCATGTCCTCTTCGCTCCAGGACTGACGGCCGCTCATTCTTTCGTATTTACGGACCATTGAGAGCTGAAAGAGGTCAAAGAGTACACTGTTAAAATTCAATCCAATTATGCGGCTGTGCATCACGAACAGTTTAACGAGGACGGTAATTATCTTGATTTTACTTAGAAGTCAATTGCGGTTCCACTTTTCAATGTATAAAGGTATAAAGTATTTACTCGAGACTCAATAATTAAGATTTGCATTAAAGAAAAAAATGAAAATCAGTGCATTTGTAATTTTAAGATTTGTTTAATTGGGCCCGAGGTTTATTTGAATAAAGGAGCGCGGCTTGACATCGCTGATGTTCGGCGAAGGGTAACCGTGGCTACCGGTTCTATGGACCACGTTCAATGCCGGCGCGAGGTAAAAAATATGTCTAGAGACGGTTTAGAGGCTATCCTCAATGTTATGCCGTAGTTGTATATTACAAACATGTAAATAAGGCGCACCACGGAACGAGCGCGAATGATTTAGCGGCAAGTTTCACTGACGTAAGATGCATAGCCCTGACCTTTCATTTCTTTGAAAAACAATACGCCTCGTGTGAGAATAAATTCGACTTACGAAGGGTATTACACGAACGAAAAGAAAACATTGGCCATAAAAATCAATTAATACTAAATTATACTTAATTTTGTTCCATTTATCACTCAATCTATATTAACGAAACGCAAATATCGTTCGCTTTTATTTCAAGCGTAGGTATATACTCTATTTATAATTGACTTGTTTTCTATCAACTGTCATTTATCAATAAACAAGAAAACATCTTAAGCAATAGGAAATAAAGTAGAGAATCGAATGATTCGCGAGGACACTAACCATGTCACTGAACATGAACACACCGCATAGCTTGCTCAGCTGATAGTGGGCAAAACACCAGATAAAGTATGGCGTGTTTTTCCAGTGCGATAACTCGGGGAACACCGAGAGGGCCTCAGGTAGCGAGCGCGAGTGTACTACTGTGATATTCACCCGTGTAATAAGCGATGCATCGAAAACAAAATTCGAGGTTTACGTAGACGTCGAAAACGAGTGCACCTTACACGTCACTAGCGTGTCACTTTGACTCTCAGTTGAACGGGAAATACTACACGATAGTTGTTGACCGTCCTTGAGTGACCGCTTCGTATTTTTTATCTGTTAAAAGAAATACGTGGTTGCGTCGCTCGGTCAGCTGTTTGTATTCGATCTACAACACGTCTATCAACATATCTCAGTATCCCTTTACGTGCCGTCTGACCAAGAAAGAGAACGTACGTATAAGTTTAATGTCCATCGCTTGTTGTTCAAGTGTGTGATAACGTACGCCGCGCGCCGAGGAGCAATGGATTATAATATAGGCGACCGCTCGTTACGGCACCGAGCTGAGAGACGTCGTAATATCGGTTCGGACACGGCGTGAGGCGAGGTTACTGTGACGCGTGACTTGCAAGGTCCCCGCTGCAATGCACGATGCGCCAAGGTTGCTTCGTTCCTTCGTACTCACACAAAAAATAATCTCATATCTTTAAGGAATCAATTATAAAAATGAATTCTATATAATACCAATACGTTGCCAAAAGCGCGGGAACATCATTGGACAAGGTGAAATCGGCAGAGTTCGTTGGTCCTGGTTGCGATAAGCAGTTAAGGGGTTGTAGTACTTACAATTAGAGTTTGCGAGTGCGGCTCGTGCAGGAGCGGTACGACGGCGGGCACTGGCGCTGGCGCGGTCAGGGTCCGTGTGACGGTTGCGGCTGGTAGCGACGGCTGGCGGCGGCTCGCGGACTCGGAGACGTCGCGTGCGGCCCGGCGGACGGCGCGCGCGGCACTGGCGCGGGGCCCGTCTTGCCCCGCTGCGGCCCTGGCGCGCTGACGTCACCTGGCCCAGGGCCCGCCGCTACTATTTTCGTCCACGACTAATTATCGCCTTCCTTTGTCCAATCATGCGTTATGCACTGAAAAGGAAATCTGGCTTTATCTATGCCTACGTGCACTCACGCCGTGTACGCGACCACCTATGTGCGCGTGTGTAGTGTCGGCATTAATAATTATTGTTTCTGAAACAACAAAACTTACTTTTCGCCTTATGCGGCATTAAATGAATAATCGTTTCGACAAAAGTAACAAATTGTACCAATTGCAGAACTATAGGCAATTGTAGGAACACAAAGTTTATCTTTCTAGTTGCAGTACGTTACCAGGATGTAGGTAATTGAATAGCTACCCATAAACTGACATCACTAATTGCCAGTGACGCACGTGTTTTGATAACATTCCCATACGTGTGGTACCCGGTCACCGAAAACTTGACTGGTACTAAATTTACTTATTCTATGATTTTTTTTCTTAGTTTCCTTACGAATTATGAAACAATAATTTGTATTAAGAACGCTAGAGTTTAAAGACACTTATAAAAGCTAAACCTGACTTCTATGAATCATGTTTATGCATACGAAAACAATTCACCAACGTTGCATAACATCATCCACACGAGTTTGTCATATAGCTCACCATTATCCACCTAACGCCTTCATATTGGTGTTCGTCTAAACAAGCGGATATTTCTTTGAAGCGATGCTGTCACACTATCATGTACATATATTTTCTGCTTACGCATGATTAGTGGGAAATATACGTAGCTACAAGTTGTCAAGTAACATACTATGCATACGTATGTAGCCGAGCTGATGTTGTTAAGAAAGTAATGAACACAGCGAAAATTTTGCACATTCAGATTTGTTGTGAAAAATTAACTAGAAAAACATACATCATGATTGCTAATAAAAGAGTTGACATCAGTCAGTTCATATCTCCGATGGCTAGTTAGAGGTAACTAAGCTTTAGTCAACCATGTAGGCTCATCCCAGGTTACATGTTTCTTCGCAGATACGTGCAGCTTGTATTTGGATGTTTTCTTTAATCGTAAAACATACCATATGTTCATCATACAATAAAGGACAATTTTGTAATACAGGAGAATTCTTCAAATTTTGTCTGATAATTTTAAACTTTGAGGAAGTAGGTTCGTAGTAAAACATAAAAAAAAGCTATGTGAACACGATGTAATTATGTGACCGTTTTAATTATTGTAAAAAGTAATTGTAGACGCGCCAAGAACAAATATTCAGTTTACGGTAAAGTAATCAAACTTAATTGTCGTAAGATCAATTTCTAATGTATGTAGATATATGTAATAATAGAATTACTTTATACGATGATAAATTTATTTCAACCAATCAAACGAAAAGAGCTACTATGGAAGCGGTCCAATAAGAGCTGGAACTTTTGTCGTCGGATGGTTCGATTTTCATTTTCGTTGTGGACACGTTGTGGTCATGATCACTTGGTCATACTAGAAACTAGAGGCACTTAACAATTTAATGATATTATCAAGTTGCGTTTTGTTATACATAATGATACCTTTGTCGTGGTGTATTTTGTAGTGTTGAGATTATTATTAAGGATTATTGTATACAACATTTTGTTAAAGTAGACAGTATCCGCTCGTTGACTGAACGGCGTCCATTGTTTCAAAGGGTTTACTTGTGTACCATACGTTCAACATCATCAAGACTTCAATAGACGAGGTTACGGTCCTAGAGAGATGTTATCTAATATAGAGCGTAGATCTAATAAATTATATACCTCTATTCTCTAGTTCAAATGTAACATAATTAATGCTTTAAGGACCATCGCAAATTGAATAATTTAACAAACAAGGAAATGAAACCATTGTACATTTATTTGTTGACCGTTACACCGAGATCTTTAGATGTGAAGTCGAGTTGAACGCGTGCCAAAATCGCTTAGCGCCGAATGACAATAAGAAATTCCGTGAAGCAAATCCACAGCCAACAACTGACTCATATACACGTGGATACGAACATGGTCCACATTTTTATTGCGTACAATGCAACATTTACTAAACTATTGGATTGCGCCATTATCTATTACAAACTGCCAATCTCAGAGTTCTTAATCAATCACTAAAGAGTCATACAGAGTAAGGAGACCTTAGTGTAAATTTATTGTTAGAAATCTACATTAAGAGACTGTTTAAATTACCATTAAATGAATTTGATGAGTTAAAAGAGTGACGCAGTAAGGGCTTGTAAAACAAATGGGGGGCCAATGGTCTAAAAAGATAACTAAATATCCACGCAAGAAACAGGGTACATAGACTCCAACAATATGGACCAATGATTGATCTTTATGCCTTCTTTTTTTAACTCGTAACTATGAACTAACATACGTCTAACGCTCACGTCTAATTATCCGGTGACGGCCAATCCAACTCGTTACTAACTGGTTAAAGCTGATGACAAAGAATACAGGAATGTAGGCACTTGCATGTATCTACTATGATTAAAATTGCTAAGAAACATAATAATACTAATATTATAAATGCGAATGTTTGGGTGGTTGGATGGATATTTGTTTGATAAACGGCTGCATGGATCTCGCTGAAATTTGGCATAGATGAAGTACATAGTCTGGAAGGACACTGAGTCGCGGACGGCAGCTAGTGTTAACATACAATTGTGTTTGTGTCACTTGTATGAATATGTATGTACTTGTTTTGTATCATAGAAGTCTAAAAATCTCGTATAAACAATGAAAGTTGATCGTCTAGTCAAGATTCTGTATAATCGTTTCTTTACGCCTGTCATCTGCGAGGTTGCATATCCACAATCAAATCGGCACAATTTTGACTATAGATATCAATTCAGTCAAGGTTTAAAAAGTGTAAATCTTTTAACAAGCACGCGACGCATGTTTTTTCATCTTATATCTGGTAGAATTATCAGTAGCCCTTTTTAGGCATCGGTACAACTTTTATTAAAATTATGTTTGATATTAAATGAGGGAATAAGAATTTATATTACTCATAATACTTACCACACATATTTCTCGTTCATGCAGAATGTAGAAGGTCTTCAATTATTGCACGTTGATAAGTTTTCAATAAAATATTATTAATATTAGATTATTTTGCATTCGCTTATCGTTATATTTTTGCGGGAAATGTGGCTGTCACAAGTGACAGCGGTCAATGAACTCATCGGGTGTTATTCATAGAGGTTGATAGGTATGTTGTAATATGCGATCAGCGTTTTCCCATCCGATTAAATTACATTTAATTTTATATAAATTAGCTAGCTGTTGAAATGTGTGCGTATTAAAAAAAATAACTAGTAGCCTGTGTTCTTCCAGACTATGTTCTACATATGCGCCAAATCAAGATCCAGTGAGCCGTTCTAGAAATACTTTTTAACAAACTTCTTTCCATCCATCCATCTAAATTTTCGTATTTGTAATATTAGTAAGATTAAATGGGAACTGTATTACCAGTTTCAAAAGTTATATTCAAAAATTTTAGTCGAGAATATTATTTTGCGATATTTTTATACGAAGATATGAAATCATTGAAGCGTTTAGGTTTTATTGTAAGTCTATTCTTAGGTCTTATTGAAGTCTGGCCTTTAGGAGGTCGGATGTTACAATTAGTCAACCTGCACTTCCAGACACAATCTCTTTACTTTCGTAACATTGCTCTTTTTAGACTATGCGATGTCGCAAACTGCAGACTACATAGATATACGAAATTAAAAAGAAATACAAATAATAAATAGTCACCTCTATCATTTGACCGGTTGCCAACCTTATAAAGAGTAAAACGAAGTCACCTCTAGCTATAGTAATAAAATAGGAATCCTCAGTTGCGCGGTTGACTATGGCGCAGTCACACTAATTTAGGGCAGGCTCCGAGCCCCTGAGTGGTTACTTATAGTGAGCTAATGATGATTGCCCATTAGGTTTTAATGCAATCGTTAAATTAGTTATATCATGAGACCTGTTTATTGTTGTACCTAAGCTTCAAGCCGATAGATAATAGATTGATAGGAACAAATAATTATATTTCTGATGTCTTATAACTTTTGCAGGATTTTTTGTGATGTTTATTTTTGTAATGTACATTATTTAAAGAAAACTTATTAAAAAACTTATATAAAACATGTCAGGTTATGAACAAAAACTGAGAACTTAGCGTACAACTGCGCAGTTAAGAAACACTGCAGTTTTTATATGTCTACAAGGCCTTGGGAAATTCATTGAGCACAGATTGAGTAGTTT